ATGAGGTGACTCAATGCCTTCTCAGTGAGTTTGGTAAGATAGCCGGGTTCCAATCCCCATGAAGCCGCCATTGCCCCGAGAGTGGGGGCATCGCCTTTCGGCATGCGTTGCTTCGCCTGAAGAAGTTGCGTCGCCATAGAATCTAATGACTTGTTGCCGTTGAGCCGGGACGGGTGATTGGCCCACTTAACCAGCGATGCCAAAGTGGTTGTTGTGGGTGCTTGCTTGAGGAAAAGGCGTGGTTGGTCGCTGGTCCATGTGTAGTACTTGACAACTTCCTCCGGCGTGCTGTGCATGGTGAGTAATTGTGACGCCGCCGGTTTGGACGGCGGTGACGACATTCCGTGAAGAGACTGCATGATCCGAGGTTGCACCACGCTATCAAACGACTTGCCATCCAGGGCGGCCGCGCTAGCTGTGGGAAGGGAGCTGGCAGGTGACGAGGATGGTGTGTGGTTGACCGGTGGTGGTGTAACCAACTCTGCATCATCCTTCTGGTTTGTCATCGTGGGAGAAGTCGATGCGCGAAGTGATGCGGAATACTGAGCTTGGAGAAGTTCGTGAGCACGATTCAAATCATTGAACTTTTTGACCATGTCATCGGTCTGGGCAGCGGGTGCGAGAGAGGTGTGATGTTGTTGAAGAATTTTGAAGTACCAAGTTGGCCAAATGGTCGTGGACCTTGATGCGCTGATTGAAGTCATCAATGTTGAGACCCATCGTGTTGGCAAGGTCCTTCTCCAGGGTGAGCAGGTTAAGTGACTGCGATCTTCGTAGTAATTTGGAGCAGGTACTCCAAAGCAAGGCCTCGGTGCGGGTGCGAAAGCCTTCCCACGTCACGAAGCGGCCGTGTGCAAACGGCCGGAGGAGCCAGTTGGTGAGGCCCCCGTGGATAACCTGAACCAGGCGAACGTCCCTAATATCCATGCCGGACATGTCGCGAAGGTTGCCATGCGGAGTGTTGGCAACAGTCATGGGCAGGCTGAAGTTGTAGAGCTGGTTGACATCAAACATGCCGTCTCCTGGTGTCCAGTCAGGCGATGGAGTAAGCCAGGCTTTCTGAGGACGAACCGGTAGAGCCGCAGGAGGTGCAGGTGATGGTGTAGGTTGGGAAGTAGTGACCGGTGGTGGCATCACTGGTGGCATGAACTTGGATGGCGTGGGATCAGGAGGGATCGGCATCATGTAGTTGATCGCCGGGTATTGGAATTGTTGTGTGGGGTTGTGAGTCGATTGAAAATTGGTGGGCATCATCGGAAAGTTGTTAGCAGCGTTGTAGCCGGAGTTGTGCTGCCATGAGACCAAGTTGTTCCAATCCATGTTCTCCGCGACCTGGTTGTCATTGTGCTCACGTCGGCGTGCTTTGTGAGCTTGAGGGGACGGACTCCGATCACGTCTGCGTCGAGTCCTGGATCTATCACGATCATCACGTCGAGACATGGTGACGCAACTGACTCTGAATTTGCGCACTTCCTCCTTGAGATACTCAGACTCGAAAACGTTCAAATCAATGCAAATGCAAGTTAGCAGCCCTCAACTGCAATGGTCAATCGACATGCACAAGGGAAGCAAATACAAGTCAGCAATCGTCAACCGCAGTGATACGAGCAACGAGTTCAACCAATGGTCAAGAAATGCAATGAAAATCGGCAGCTATCCGCTGTGGTGAGACGTCTCTATGAACTGACGGCTTTCTTCCCTTTAGTGAAACCTCGTTCCTGATTAAATGTGAAATTCCGCTGTTCTATGATAAGCACGTTGAGGTCAAATTTTCCGACAGAGCCGGCCCGGGGTCACACAATGGGTACACCCGAGGATTCCCCACGAGTGGGGTGTACACACTTGAACTCCAAATGGAGAGTGCTAATCTTTCGAGTACAACTGATGAGTCTCGAGTACAACTGATGAGTCTCGAGTACAACTGATGAGTTTCGAGTAGAATCGACTTGCAGTCCCGTGGCTTCCGTCTAGCAGCGAACACGTTACCCGAAAGAACAAGAAGCACAAACAGCGCCGCAACCAAGGGGGCCAAATGGACATTCAGAATCACGGAATGCAGGTACGCCGAAGTGGCCAACTCCGGTATCCCGTCTTGCTGCCTAGCTTTGTTAGACCAGGTCAGCAGCAAGACGCCTGGTCCCCCTGCTGCGAAACCGAAAGGGTGGTGACAGGGCATTCTGTCACTCCGCACACACACACACACACATCTCGACGCTTGTTCAGCTTCCGGGAGTCAAACCAAAAGGAACGTGTTCCTGTTTGCAGCGGCCACTGGGCATTTTGGGTGGGGAGTCAGCTCCCATGTCGTTCATGCCACTGCTGACTCATGTCTTGCCAGCCACATCTTCCAAAGATGTTCGTGCCTTGAGTCAGAGAAAATCCCGGATTTCCACATGCTAGTTAGGCCTCTGAATGCAACTGTCTCCTGTCCGAAATCTGTTTTGACCCTCTTATCGGTGGTTTTCACCTGATTCTCCAGAATATCCTTGGTATTCCAGGCTTCTAGGCGTCTGGCGCTTGAAACTCGGAAAGCGAACCATAACTGCGGAGTCCGTCTTCTCAACACAAAGAGGTTCGCTACAGGGTTCCTACTTGGAGGCGATTGTACCGACCGGCTCCCCTACCAACAGCTAGGGTCGTGAATCACGGGCCCCAAAACCTCCCTGACTTTGCCGGTCGCCATGTGTGGACAAATGATGAACCACAGCAGCTATCCCATGAGCTAACCCAGAATTCTCTGCTCCAAAGCTCATCCCCTCTTGAAGTCGCCTCCTCCACTCTCTCGCAGACAAGGTGCCTCCTGAGACCTGTTCTCGGAGACCGTCATCCGCCTAAACCTAAAGCACTACGTCACACCTACAGAGTGGGGTTGTAGAAGCAGCTCAAGCTGCTGGTCATCGAAAGTTGCAGTGCCAAAGGCATGAGGTATGAGTTGCTACGAAAAACAAAACCGGGTGTGTTCACGGTTTGGAGCATCGTGCTCCGCATGTTGCTTGAAGTTCGCATGCCTATATAATTGTTCCAGCGCGGCAAGTCAGATGCTATCCTAATTCTGTGCGGCTTCCTTGGGTGGTGTGAGGTTTGACTCGTGCTCCCAACACGATAGTGTTTGTAGCACGTCGATGTGCCAAAGGGAATCTCCTTCGAGACCCATGTTGTTCCTTCAGGCAGGGTCCAGCCGCAAGCGGCGTCTTTCCTGGCCCGACTGCTGTCACGGCTTGGGCCAAGACACCAGGCACCGCGGGAAATCTCTGGCGGGAACAAACCAGGGTTGCCGGCGATGCAACCAGGAGGCCACACAACAAGTGTCCATGTTTGACAACTCCGAGACCTGAATCAGAGCCTAATTGGCTCGCATATGCAGCCCGGGGCTCTCTCCTGGAACAGGAAACCACCCAACCTGGCAGAAGCCCAATCCGGAAAATACGTCGGAAACTCACCCTGTTGGATTGGATTGCTTCAAAGGAGCCAAAATCAAGATTTGACAAACAGCAAAAAGAGTCCTGCGCAAATACTGCTGGCCAACATTTGCCAAAGGGTTGACACCATGGTGACGTTTTTGGGAGATCTCGTCAAACGGCAACACGAAATGCCTTCCAAGACGGGTTCCATTCTTTGTCGGCCCTTGCATCACAGGATGTGAGGAAAAATGATTGACAGCCAAAGCCGATTTCCAAAAAATTGCACGCCGCTGTGGCATGAAGAGGGCCCGTTTGTTTGTCCAACCCCTTGCCACCTTGGTCAACTCTCCCACTACAATCGCTGCCTTGACTGGGCGGGTCTTTGAGCACCCCCAAACAAGTGAATCATGTTGCGCTGGTTTGAAACGGTTGGTAGGGAAATATATGGTCCTTCTCCAACAAGTTTTAAAAGCTGAACCGAAGAGCAACCAACGGATTCTTTCCGCCGCCTGGCATTTGAACCCTCATCAATGCCGCTGGTGACTGTCCCATACCATCCTCACACATGACAAGCTCTCTGTAGCACCTAAGGTTGAGGGGGGCTGCGGGTTCTCCAAATCCAGGTCCCAAGTGCGTCATCAAGGGGTCGCAGGATCTCAATAGAGGGTCCGTAATGGCCGCTCTCTCACAACGCAGCGGCTCCAAACCTCTTTTGCTGCGCGGAGTGGAGCGACAACTAGTGGCTTCGGGATAAGCCGTGCGAGGCCAGACATGCTTTATCGCCTTTTCGGGTTCATGGCGTTCCCTCTCGAAATTTGGGGCAGAGTTCACGGCTGACGTCTAAGCGGCTAACTTGCGACAGCCGCAATTGCGGCTTCTCCCGAGTCTCACTTAATTTCTTATGTACAGGTTCGGGCGGCGGAAGGTGGCTGGCAAGAGACAGGCCACACAAGAATGTCTAATTGGATCAGTCTTCCAGAACTATGATGGGTCAAGGTGCAAAAACAAAGGATAAACGTCCTGCTGATCAGTGGTCAGGGAGATGAAAATCGAAATGGGATCTCGGGCCTTGTCGACAGAATGGCACAGGCTTGCACCTCCCAGATGGATAAGTTCGATCCTTCGAGGGGGGCTTGAAGGGAAGGCTCCTTCCAAGGACAATCCATCCATAATATCCATAATGACGAACTCTTTGACAAGCTACTGTACATCAGTTGCATACCCGGCACAACAGGTGTTTCTGATCATGCATCAAGTACGAATTCGCGACTCCATAGTAAGCTGGCTATGATGTGAGTGACATGTCACGTCCAAGTACTGGTTCGATCAAGCACGCCAAAAGCAATTTGCCGCGAGACCAAGCGAGAAAGTGTTTCCAATGAAATGTCCGCGACAATCCGAATCGACGAGATGTTTGTCCGAGTCATTGTCACATGTACGTCGACACTTGTCTTAACTGAGCTGCGCCTCCCAAAGCCCAAATGAATAACGACGAACATGCAGCAGAGCTTAAAGTACACCCAAAAAAGTATCCCTCGCCAGCAAATCGCCGCCCCTCGAGCGGTCTTCGCTCAAGCTCGAGAACTCCACTCACAAGTTTCACCAGGCGTCGAAGAAGGCGGGGTCGCCGCCCCGCTGGCTCTTGCCGCTGCTGTTGCTCAGCAAACTTCGCTTCACCACCTGCCAAACAAGCCGCGAGGCTCTGCCGCCAAGAAATGGGCACCCAAGCAAGTTCTGTCCACCGCCTCCCATGATACCGGCTTCTTGGTACCCCTGTTGTTAGCCCGACCCCCACTCACAAAACGGAACCGCGAGTCTGCCCCGAAGGCCAAAGCCTGTGCTTCACAAAACCCGGCACAAAGCTCCAACGGTGCTGACCGAGAGAAACCCTTGCTTGGCTGCAGAGTTCTACCCTTGCGATTTTAATTTTGGCTTCGCCCACCTGGGGCAACCTGCCAAACCCTAACCACATCTTCCCCCAATCCAAAGCTCAGCAAAATCCCACGCTTCCGGCCGATGCCACAAAGAAACAACACACACCATCCACTCCCAGCCTCCCTCAACCCCTCTCAAAAAACCCGGCCGCGCGTTCCCCCGCGTCGGCCTTGGCGCAGTTCAGCACCGCCTGCCTCACCAGCTCCGGGCTCGGCGCCGTGAGCCGCGCCGCCTTGCAGTTGCCTGGGGCGACGGGGCGCTCGGGCGCTCGGGCGCTGGGCGCCCGGCGAAAGCGACGTTTTATACATCACATCACCTTGCGCGCGCCGGTTCTTTCCCGGATGCGAACTCTTCAGAGCAAACCCCTGAACAGACATCACCTCAGCATGCCGGCAAATAGCAGCGATTCGCTTCCAAAAGGCCATGCGGGGGGGGGGGGGGGGCATCGGAAAGACGCCCATCCTGCATGGGGCTCCTCCAACAGAGGCTCCTCTGCAAAGATCAAGCAAGGCACTGCAACTATCAACCATAGTTGAATGAACAAGCATCATAGTCTCTGCAACTACCCAGCATCATTGCTACACCCCAGGATAAGACAACAATGGCCGAATGCAGCATACTGGCTGCAGTCACTTGCAACATCTGCAATGAATTAGCAGGATGGGCTGTACACCCATTTTATGTTGACACCACTAGTTATTGCAAACATCATCCTGCAACACCACTTTGACAACCACACTCGTCACCAAGTCTTTTCCGCACACCTGCCTCATTTTGCAATCCCAGGCTCCCAGGAGATCCACCACTGGGTAGAGAGGCACGTCCAGCACCGGCGCCTGCTTGGGACCCTTGCAGACTGGCTGGCCGTTCACCAGCACCACCAGTGTGCCGTCCCCTTCGCGGGCAGAAGGCGGAAGCCGAAAGGCGGAAGGGAGCGCGCGGGCATGGTGTGGTGCTGGGGGGAATACCAAACTGTTCATCACCACCAATCCGTTATGTCCTTGCTGAAAAGCCATGTGCGCAAATATCCAAACTTTCTGTCCTGTGGGCTCTTGCCTTCCCCTCAAGGCGGTCTTTTTCATTTGTCTCCACAACTTGCCTGGCAGTGTCAAAGCCCAGCTGCCAGCCCGCTGTTCAAAAGCACACATTACGTTGGCCAAAAGATATGAGTCAAATTGTTTGTTAGGAAACAGGCGAGCAAACAAGCAGTAGTTTTGGGTAATGTGTGGTTTCGGTTTTGTTGCATGATGTTCAGGAGTTGTGAAGAGGGGGGTGGGGGTGTATTCTTCCAGCTGCATCCAAGCGTGCGCTGGGCAAAGGGCTGCAGCATGATGGTTTCAGATCTTTGAGCTAACCTGGGTGTTTTAACGTATTCTATGTGATGTGCTGTCGCATTCGCCGCCACGCAGGTGCCAAAAACATGCCCAAAGTAGCAAAGCACCCTGGTAAAATATGCGTGTGTATATGCGTGTAGCAGCACGACGGCCACCAAATGTTTCCCGCCCCGACCTTTTGTCCCCCATTGGACTTTGAATGCGATGCTCACCGTCACCCTTCGCCATGTCCCAAAGCAAAAGCGACTGGGCACCCATCTGTTGGGGGGCCAAGCTCTCCAGTGCCCTCCCACCACACGGAGGCCGCCCCCCACGTGCCACCAGGCCTTTGATGAGGAGCCCCGCTCGGTCGCCCTGCTTGAGACCCACGGGGCTCCACTTCACCGGCAGCTCGTCCTCCAGGTCCGGGCAGAAGGCGCAGCCGTTGTAGCCGATGCTCCACGCCTCCTGGAAAGCCCCGGAAACAGAAGCCATGCAAGGAACAAAACGTCCCCTTGGGGAAGGGAAGTGGAAATGAGTTTAGGCAGCAACGGCTAAAACAGCCCGGAGTTTCTAGAAATGGCGGGCCTGTCGGGGATACTTTGATTGGGGGAACAGCTTCCAGGCTCGGCTTCTGTTGCGAGAGTCGGTGCGTCATAAACTTGTTGGACAGAGATTGCCGCATTGGCTGGTCTGGTCTAAACAGTGACCTCCCTCTCTTCCAATTTCAAGTCGCTTCAGTGGGGGACGAGGTGGAGACTCTTCTTTTGAAAACCTGCCCACGGAATGCGGCAAAAAACCATACCAATGCGAGTTCCGGCGGAATACATCCTTTGTAATAAAATCGGACATTCAGAAACACATAGAGAAAGTCGTTCCTCTGAAAAGCCACTCGCGCCTCTTCCTGCCTTCCCGCCCTTCAACCAACCCTATCTAAACCAACCTCTTTCCCGATTCGCGCCAGCATCGGGGGAGCACCCACACACCAACCCGCGCCTTGACGTCGCAGGCCATCAGGATGCCCTCCATGGCCCTAGGCCGCTGGGAGGCAACGCCCAGCACCAGGCCGTCGTCGTTGCCTCGCCCGAGGACGCTCGAAGGGGGGTGGGGTGCCTCCCGAAACCAGCTCAAGTTTGAGGCCCAATAACCAAATCTCCAAAGTGACCCAACGTGCCACAAGCTCAACACAATGTATAAAACGATCAACCGGGCCGAACCCTACTGACTCTCCACGATTCTCCGCTTGCAAAGCTTGGTTTCATCAACCACGCGTAGTCAGGTCTGCCCCTCACTCACATACCTCCCCGACCCGGGCCTTGCCGCACCTCCTCAACCACCACCTCGAAGTAGGCCTCGCCGTCTGGACCAGTGCCTCAAAGCTTCACAGCGTGGGCCACGGGCAGCGATCAAACGACGGGGCAATCAAAATGAGGTTTCTCATGAAGTCCAAACCTGCTTGCAATGTTATTCAGCTACCTGCTTACGGATGTGGGTGATGTCGACAAGCCGCCTTTTTAGCACGAGTGTGTATCCCTACCAAGGCGCAAAGAGGGAAGCGTACCATTTTCTCCTTCACATTGCCAACAAATAGTCGGGGCCACATCCACGATGCCAGGCCGGGGGCCTGGATTTGGGAACCCGGGAGAACGGTGCTTGGAATAATTGAGTGGAAACGGTGTCGTGGAGACTGGATCGAGACAGCACCTGTCATTTCTGTCTCGTCAAGAGTCAAGAGGATCCAGGCCCAAACTTGAAGCAAAGCCACCCCTTCCAGACCCATCCCCTTCCCTCCAACTCCCCCTGCAACATCTCCCTCCCCCTCCCTCCCTCCAGCCCCTCCTTCCAACCCTCCAAACCCTTCATCCCGGGCTTCCCGGCAGGGCAGCGGTCCGTCCCCGAAGAGGACGCCCCCCAGCGCATTGCCCACGGGGTCGCGGCTGGTGGCCAGCAGCCGAGGCCCATCGAGGCCCACCGCCTCCCAAAGGAGGCAGGGGCTCTGAGTCCCGCAGCTGGGGGCGGCAGGGGGTGGCACGGGGTGGTGTCCTGGGGAGCGTATGGGTTGGTAAGGTAGAGACACAAGTACGGCAACAAGAGTTTAAATCTACAAAAGCAACAAAAAATCTGAAACCAGTGCTGTGATTGGTGGGTTTTTTGGGGGAGTCCTGCTCACAGAGATGGGGGGAAAAAAAGCTCGAAGGAAACCAACAAAGCCAAAAAAAACAAAATCCTCAGGGAAATGTTCAGGAGTCCTTGGACCAACACAAAAAAAGGAAGAAGAAGAAACACTCTGGCTATTGGCCTCTCCAAAAAATACCAAAGCAAGAAAATCAAACACATTCGGCTTAGTAAGTGGCCGGAGAGGTTGAGGATAGGGTTGTCTCGTTGCGGGCTTGCTTTTGCTTGCTCAGCGGCCACTGACTGCAAACCAGCATCATCCCTGTGAGGTTCCGGGACGGTTTTCAGCACTTACCATGAAACCTGGCAGGGGCCCGCTAAACGATAAACACGTGCTCCAAAGAAAGTTCTCCCAGGTTCCATGTTGGTGGGTGGTAAGTCGCTGGACTGCAGCTCTTTCTGGCCGAGGGGCTGTCATTGGGATATATGTCAACCAACCATTTGTTGTGGGTGTTCACTCCAGAAAGAAAGAAAGACAATAAACTATAGCCAGCTACATACTAAAGGAGACAGTATGCCTTAGCAAACAGTGCTCACACAACGTGCTGCCAGCGATCCAAGCCGTGTGTTGTGCGTTCCATGTGCGGAACGCAATGACGCCTTCCTAGTCCAGCCAGTACACAAAAGCCAACGATCCAACCCCTGGATCTCATCAGCGAGCTTCCCGAAAATTGTCAGCCTGTGTCGAGAATGTCACAGTAAAAACATCCCAGCTGTGTCACTGATCTTTGTGAAAATGAGTACAGGGATAAGTCATCGCAAACATGTCGCTTGAATCCCAGTTGGCCCATGACTGAGGTTCCTCTCCGGACGTGGATGTCTGACTCAACACTACCATTGAAGAATCGGGACACCTCCCTTCACTTTACCAGGTGCTGTTGAATGTCATGTCCATATGCGGGAACTCCAGCATCAGCTCCCCCGTGGCATGGCTTCCAGGGCCTGGCCCACCAGCTTGGGGTCGAAGCCGCTGAAGACGGCGCCTTCCTCGAAAAGTCGCGGCGAATCGATCCGCCGGCTGCCCGCAACTGGTGGGCGCCCCTTGGTTGGTTCTTGGGCTGTGACCCAACAGGAAAGCCCAAAGGAAACAGACTACTTCCGGGGTTCTCTACTTTACGCTTCACGGAACCCCCTTGGCTGAATGCGCCGCGCCGGCCGGCATTTTGGGCGCGCTGCAGCGCCTTCGCCGCGCTTCGGCAGCTTTCAAAAACCGTCAAAAACCCAGCTGGCCGAGGAAGACTGGAAACCCGATGTGTCCAAGGCAGAGCCCTGGCTCACAAAAGGAACCGTCACTCCTGAAGCCAACGGACCAAACTTGTTGACCTGCGGCCATTGGCAAAGAGGCTCTCACGAGTCTAGTCACTTCTCTTGGGTGGCCCACGAGCTCAAACCAGCGAGTTCGATCATGCGACGCAGGCTGGACCCTGCTGCAAGCGTAGGGCCCCCTACTTCTTACACAACAAGTCACGCCTCTCAGCCAATGCAGCTCTACACGCGCCGGTCGCCTTCCTATTCCTCGAGTCCACTCGGAAGTCCTAGGCCTGGCACCTCACCCTCACCGGAGGCCGGCGGGGCCTCACATGCCGCGTCTGTGCTGAAGCCGGCGTCTGACCCAAAGGTCAGCATGCCCCAGGCCAGCTTCAAGGGGAACATCTCCTAGGCTGGTCTTTGACAAAACGCAAAAACAAAAAAAATTGTTGGTGATTTGATTGCCGGCGGGGGAACCGCAAGTGTCCAACAAGTTGTTTTGAAAAGCTCAAAGGTCAAGTCAAACAGCAACCAAGTTTCCAGCGGCTTGTCCGAGTCAAAGACCACTTCGAAGCGGTCGGTGTGCTCCTGGCAAAAGGTCAACTTGACAGATCGCAATCATGCCAACCAGGGGCACGAAGCTCTTCTTTCTCTAGGCAGCGCCTAACACCCCTCCCGTGTCCAACATGGTTCCCCGCACCGAGAAGCAGTCCTTCTTGTTGACGATCTTGGTCACCTCCCGCTCTGCACAGCCCACAATGACCAAATCCCCGAGCTTCAGGGAATCCGCGCGCTGATCACGGAGGCCTGAGCAGCCCCAGGCCCCAGGTTGCGTTGCTGCCCACATGCAACATGGCATGACAAAAGCAAAGGAATGAACATGTGGCCTGGCCTTTGACTTCAGTCTGCTGCATTGAGCAGTTGAGAAGTTGATATCAATCACATCAAGCAGGTCCATGTGAGGTTTTTGAAGACTCTGGCCAGGCAACCAAAAATCCACCCCAGAACCGGCCCATAACTTTAGAAGCCAAGTAAAACATCTGACAACTACAAAGCTGGACTTCGAGAGAGAGTCTGCCCCTGCCCCCGCCAGTGCCCGGCACGGCAACCCGGTGGGAGCTGGACATGCGGAACTTCCCCTGGTGCGTGCTGAGCTCCACCACTTCACACGGTGTCTTGTCGGAGGGGTGCCTCTTCACGTCGACCACCGAGGCCTCGGCGCCGTCGCGCAGGCGGACTTTGTCCCCCGTCTTGAGATTCTCCACCCGCAATAGGTGGCCAGCTGCGCTGGGCAGGGCCGTGTTGGGGAGGAAACACTTAGCAGATTGGCTGCTGGCATCGCTCACCGACCGCACCTCCTCCTCCACTTGATCTCCCAGCAAAGTCCAGGAGCTTCCGAGGCTGGCCGGGGAGTCGCCTAAGCAGAAGCTAATCCATTTTCCTGAGACGTTGACCAAACGCCGTTGTTTACACAACGCCACGCCTGCTTCTTCATCTGGTTGGAGATCGCTTTCAATGGAGCAGCTGAATGCCTGACACGGCTCGTTGGCTCGTCGAATTGCACTTTAGAACGACACTTCCCATCAGCACCTAAGCAACTTGTTGGAAAACAATGCAGCGGGAATGGGCAGATTACGCGGCAAGTTTAGCATTTGTTCTTATTGAAGCTGGGTCGCGAACACAACCTCGCAGTGCTCCTTCAGCTGGAAAAGCTGTTGCGTGACTTCCTGCAACTTCCGCTGAAGCGCAGGTGCCTTCTGGGAAGCCGACATGAGGTCATGCCGCACTTTCTCCAGCTGATGCTGCAAGTCTTGTTTCTCCTGCTGCAAGGCATCCTTTTCCTGGGTCGCTTGAGCCTTCTCCTGCATGAGCAAAACAAAATCCTGCCTAGATTGCTCAAGCTGCTGCTGTGAGAGCAATGCAAAATCGTGCCTAGACTGCTCCAGCTGCTGCTTCAAATCCTGTTTTTGCTTCTGCAAGCCTTCCCATTGCTCTGTTTCCTGAGCCTTCTCGTGTGTGAGCAATGCAAAGTTGCGCCTGCACTGCTCCAGCTCATGCTGCAGATCCCGTTTGTCTTGCTGCAAAGTGTCCTTTTCCTGTACTGCCTGAGCCTTTTCCTGCGTAATCTTTGTGAGCTGCTGCTGCAGCGCGTTGCACTGCTGCTGAAGATTTGCCTTCTGTGCCCTCTCATGCTGGACCTCCGCCATCAGCTCTTGCACCCTCAGCTCTGCCTGGGAAGGTTGAGGGCTCCGCACCGGCTGAAGCGGCAGCAGTGAGACCTCGAGATGGTTCGGAGTCCACGAGTACAAATTCAGCTGAGGCGAACTTGTCTCGAAGGTCGTCGACAGCACCACCGTCTCCCCGGTGTCCGACTCCACCCACACCTTCCACCGCCCTCCCGCCTTCTCCCAGCGCCACCGCACCTCACTGCAACCGCGAAACTCGCCCACCGTGTCCCAGGCCAAGGTCCCGCACTCCTGCACCTCGCAGGCGCCGCCCACGCAAAAGGTGACTCTCGACACCCCCGCCGCGGAGCCGTCGCCGCGCACCTCGCTGAGCTGAGCCCACCCCACCGGGCGCTTCCGCAGCACGGCCCCGGCGAAGGCCTCCGCGGCCCAGGGCTCCGAGGTGTTTGAGCGCGGCTTCCACGCGAACTCCGAGGGGGCCATGGTGCAGCTGCAGGCAAGGGACAGGGGCAACTTCTGAGGCACTTGCTGCAGAATGCATCAACATGAGGTCACACATCACTTCGAGTGCTAGTTGGCAAAAAAAAATGACTTGGAAAAGGAAGAAGGGAATGGCCATGCTACTTTGTGCGTAACAGTGAAACACGGTCGACGCCCCGAATTCGCACATGTTCCAAGGAGAAGAAGTCGCGTTTTGTCCCCACGCAAATTCCAAGGCGTGGCTGCAAGTCGGCTGGTAGCCCTGCAAAGACCCTCGTCCAAGGCTCCGTGGCCACCGCCGGCGGCTGGGCGTCGCGGACCATGGTCACCTGGGCGGTGTGGCCTATGTGGGCTGTGGCACTACCCAAATCTCAAACAGAGGGGGACGCCGGTTTTGGAGGCTTTGGATGTCTTGTGCATGCTTCTGACTCAAATAGACAAACTAGTGCTGCACAGAATTGCCCCTGCAACCCATCCAAGGTCGGAGCTCCCTCCCTGGGCCCTGCACTGACCAGTCTTTGCGGAAACCCCGACAAGGCTCGCGGCCAGATGGTTCCTTTTAGCACCTCTCCGCGAAACAGCTAAACAACGGTGACCAAACGATTCTGCAAACACCTGCACAGCCACCTGATAAACAGCGATGATATAACATGTCTAGTGTTGATTGACTGCCATGACTATGGAAACAAGTTGATGATCGGCCTTCCCAAACCTTTCGCCTCTACCCTCCAACCACACAACAACCGCATAGAGACTTCTGCAAGATCCGCCACATGGGTGTGTCATTTGTCAGGATTCCCTTTTGGGTCAGTTTTTCAGGGAAGGCCAAACTGAAAAATCACGGTTTCCAAATTCCAGGAACCCAAACACGTATCAACGTCCGCGCCTGGCACACGCGGCCCAGCAGGTCCACCACGGCATAGAAGGCCTCCACGTCCGCCAGGGGAAAGTCGTCGGATACACGGGCCACCACCTGCCAGCGGTTTGGCGCAGGTGGAGTTCTTGTTTTCTTTTGAAACCTGCTAGGTATATATAAATAGGTCTGTATGTACGGCAACACGCCCTCCTATGATCTACATTTACTACATGAGAGAGTTCATACTTTTCAGAATCAGACATTTCAGACATGTCATAGTTGTCAAAGATTTGAGATATCCAGATATTCCAGATACTCCAGATATTCCAAATATTCCAGATATTTCAGATAATCCAAATATTCCAGATATTGCAAATATTGGAAATATTCCAGGTGTTCCAGACATTCGAGAATTGTTAGACTAACTCTTGTGTTTTTAACAAATCGTATGACTGTATGAAATGTCTGGAGTATAAACATGTCTGACATGTCTAGAATATCTAGAATATCTGCCATATGTGGATCGGAAATATCTGAAACATCTGGATTTTCTTGAACATGGAATATCTGGAATGTCTGGAACATCTGGAATGTCTGGACAATTCGGAATGTCTGGATTTTTTCTGGAAGGTCTGGAATCTCTTGAATGTCTGGACTGTGTGGAATCTCTGAAATGTCTGGAATATTTGGATTGTCTGGGAATGTTGAATTTTTGGAATGTCTGGAATATGTGAAAGATCTGGAATGTCTCAAATGTCTGGAATAACTGAAATTTCTGGAATATTTGGAATGTCTAAAATCTCTAATGTCTGGAATTTGTAGAATGTCTGGATTTGTTGGAATGTCTGGAATGTCTGGACTGTCTGGAAATTTCTGGAGTGTATGGAATATTATTTGGAATGTCTGCAACCTCTAGAATGTCTGCAATCTCTGGAATGTCTGGAATGTCTGGACAATTCGAAATGTCTGGAACAGGTGGAATGAATATTTGGAATGTCTGGAATGTTTGGACTGTCTGGAATGTCTGGAATCTCTGCAATCTCTCGAATCTCTGGAATGTCTGGAATGTCTGGAGCAAATAAGGAATGTCTGGAATGTCTGGAATATTTGCAAATTGTCCAGACTTTTAGAGATTGCAGACATTGCAACTATTCCATTCCAGAGATTCCAAACATTCCAAATCTTCCAGAAAATTTCAGACATTCAAAATTGTCCAGACATTCCAAATATTTCAGACATTCCAGAGATCCAATTTTTTTCAGGCATTCCAAAAAAACCAGGCATTCCAAATATTCCAGACATTCCACACATTCCAGACATTTCAGAGATTCCAGACATGCCAATTTAGAGATTCCAGACATTCCAAATATTCCAGACATTTCAGAGATTCCAGACATTCCAAATATTCCAGACATTCCAAATATTCCAGACATTCCAAATATTCCAGACATTCCATATATGCCAGTCCAGTCCAGACATGTTTAGAGATTCCAGATTCCAGACAAACCAGAAATTCCAGACATTCCAAATCTCTGGAATCTCTGGAAAATTTTGGAATGCCTGGAATGTCTGGAGTATTTGGAATGTCTGTGAAAATTTGGAATGTCTGGAATCTTGAAAATGTCTGGAATCTCTGGAATATGTTGCCTGAAATGCCTGGATTGCCAAGCTTGCTGGACCAAAAGTGACAGTTTTGTTGGATCCGGCCATAAAATGTCCAACTTGTCCGGACCACAACAGGATCATTGATCCCTCGCTCTCTACTTCCCATGCTTCCCTCCAGAAACGTCCCACACCTTGCCGTTGACCAGGATGATGAATTGCCCAGCGCGAGAGAGGAGCGCCTGAGATTGCACAATCGCCAACAAGGCCAAAGGCAACACACTGGAAGAACAGCTGGCAAGCAAAACGAGCCCGCACGCAGGGCATCTCCTCAGCTGCCGGAAACATCCAAAGCTCGCAAAACCCTTCTCCATTTTCTGTGAGGGAGACCGACAAGAAGAGCAGGCTGGTACCAATAAGACTTATGACTCATGGGCCAGTCTTCTGTGAGGCAATGTGCGCCCCCCAGGTGACCTGCCACAGGACAACTAAGACAAACACACCCTGAGGGCTAGCCTCTAGTCTGTGGAGGGCAAGTACTGATACATACTGATACACATAAGTATCAGTATCGGCCGTTTCCAAAACAGCTGTCCCAGGAGGATTACGGAAATGGTCGTAGGCCCTGTGAAAGGGATTCTTGACAACCGGCATGCGGCACAACTTTGACTGAACCATGCCCCTGGCCCACATGGGCGGTTTGGATCGTATGGATGGACACAATGCTGCACCAGTTGTTCGTGTATTCTAGCAATCACAGGCTTTCATCCATCCCAATTGGTGCAGGACTTTGTCCATCCACCGAACCACTTGCCGGGAAGACTCCCTTTCCCCTGGATCTGAATGGTTTGGTCTCAACATAGGGGAACCCCCAAAATGGGTGGTTGCCTTTTGGCTTCCCTTTGAACCAACCCAAAAGAATGAGGGTACCCTCAAAGGAGCCACGCCCATTGTGACTATGTGAGCGCTGCCACACGCAGGTGGGTGGCCAGGATTACTTTCCAGGCTCGCCTTCGCTAGCACTACACACAGAAACATAAAGGACACGAAGAAAAACCTATCCAAATTCCTGCTCATGTACGCAAAAAGAAGAGATCCAAAAATGAGGAACAATTTATGGAGAGGCGCCCCAACGCGGTCGTGGACCTGCAGCGAGGCAGGGTCCCACTTCACCCGCTCATCCGCCCGGTGCATGGAGCGGTAGAAGCCGTCGTAGCCTCGCGCTGCTTCCAGCGACATTTCGGCAACAGGGGGGCTGACACATTGCCGTTCTTGTGTATTCAAAATGCATTGAATGGGTCAAATATCATCAAGCGATATCTAAATCGGCAGATTTAAGCATGATGTATGTCCTAAGGATGGTTCAAAACAATCCTTCACCACTAGTCAGGTCGTTTATCTCCCCTTATGCGAATGACGTTTGGAGAGTGTGCAAATGTGCAAGTGGATGGATAGAGATTAATTGGATCAAATGAGATTAATTTGAGCTAGACTCGACTGGCCGGCAACACCACCCCACTTGCGGACCAAGCAACCTCAATCAGTATCTTGGGTGTGGGTTGCGGCTCTGCCCTGCAACTAGCGGGGCGGCTGTGCGCTGCGACTGGTAGCTCCCCCTGCCGCTGGCAACCGACACATCCCAAAGGTCAGCCCTGGGCAAGCTCAGTATCGGCCCCCCGCGCCCTGCTCCTTTCTAGACATGCTCGAACCCCTGTTTGTCCAAGTATTCCCTGTTGTGTTTTCTTTGACATGGGCGTCTTGACTTTCCGTCTCTACCGACCTACCAACGAACCAAGTCACCAACCTACCAAGCCTCCAACCCCTCACCCAACCTGCCCCCTCCATCACCGGCTGCCCCAGCCGCCTGCGGTCCAGGACTCTGGGAGAGTGTCCGAGGTCTCGTGGGGCTCCTCCCCTAACGCTCACAGCTCGGGATGGATCCAGGGAAGTGTGGAGTGGGGTGGGGGCCAGCTAGTGGTGCAAGGTTGGGTGGTTGTGGAGATGGAGATTATGCCTCACATCAAATACCAAAGCACGATTTGCGACAAAATGTGAACATGCCGCCTTGACACTGTTGTTCCTGAAGCTTTCTTTTTGGATTCACTTGCTTGAAGCAAGGAACCCCTCAAGTACATATATTCACTGTTGAGACCGGTACTCCCACGCAACCGGGCCGAACAAATTGCAAGTAAAATATGGTTGCGTGGCTGCATGTAGGTAGCCTCCTCCCTACAAAAAAAGTAAAGCAACCCAGCTCATCTTTTGGTTTGAAGGCCTTTGGGGGGGTTCTAAACGGGGAGGGTGCCCGATTTAGAGACACGGCCGCGTCCCCTTCGCCCCACTCGCCTGCGAGCTCCTCGGGCGGCACTAGGGTGAAGCCCAGCGCCAGGCCATCCCCCGCGCCCTGAAAACGTCCCAGGCCACGCGCAGGTCGCCGAGCCAACGGGAGGAAACAGGTCCGTTCAGACAAAGATCCTTAGACTTGCCGTTACGTCAAACCGCCCACAGAAACCTCAAGGCCTCCAGGATCAAAGAAGAAGGAAGAAGGCGCAAAGAAGAATGAAGGCCCTGGGATGTGGATGCAGCGGTTGAGTGCTGGGTGAAACTTTCCTGTGCTCACCTGGAACCATAGGAAGCCAGCTTCACCCTGGAAACATTGGCTTAAGACCAAAACAAACTAGTCGCTATAGTGTGCCTTTCATGTTTTAACATAAACGCCACTCTTTCGTCAATCCTATACTCACTGATAATTTGTCCCCGCGCAGTGTTGCCGATGCCTTACCGGGTTGACTGCACACAGAAGCGACTCTTTCTGGAGTAGCCGTGGTTCGCAACAGAAAGGCAAAAAGCGCCTCCCCAAGACTCCTGCGGTTTTTGCTGGTAGCATCATGCGGGGCCTTGAGCGACACCTGCACAAACCATGCCATCAAATTCCTTCTGTACCCCACAGGTCACATTTGACAGTCGCAGAAATCTCCTGGTAGCATTCTGTGGCTTGTGGGAACCTCTCAGGTAACTGGCAGCTAGTGTTCGCTCGATGCCCCAAAACCCGCGTGCGTTCGGGCGCGCTCGGGCCTCCCGAACCTTGTCCACACGCACTTCGAAGTAGCGGCCGCCGGCAGAGGGCACCAAAGGGCTGTTGCCAATGCAAACGCCTGGGCTGCTGGAACCAGTGAAGTGCAACAGACGCAAAAACAAAGGACAAGTGATGCACACCAAGCCAGTGACTTCGACTCCAGTCGTTGAACACTCTGAGAGTGCATGTGGCAATGCATGTGTTTGTGAGAGAGGGTATGTGATTGTGTGTGTGTCTGGGGTTGCATATGGGTGCATGTGTGTGTGCGTGGGCCAGCAAGCAAGCAAGCAAGCAAAGCCAAGCGAAGCGAAGCAAAGCGAAGCGAAGTGAAGCAAAGCAAGCAACGAAAGCAAAGCAAACAAGCAAAGCAAAGCAAAGCAAGCAAGCAAAGCAAAGCAAAGCAAGCAAGCAAGCAAGGAAGCAAGGAAGCAAGGAAGCAGGGAAGCAAGGAAGCAAGGAAGCAAGGAAGAAACACAAACACACAAATACACAAATACACAAATACACAAATACACAAACGCGCAAATACACAAATACACAAATACACAAATACACAAATACACAAATACACAAATACACAAACACGCGAGTAAACAAAAACTGACAAATACACTTCCACGCGAGTACACAAAACAAACAAATACACAAAACACAAACATGCAACAAAACTTCACAAAGACACAGTTTCACAAATACAGCTACAGAAATACACAAACTACATCATGCAAGCATCTAGTCTTGAGGTCACCGGTCCCCCCCCCACCCGGCCCCCCGCCCGCCATCGACGCCGGGCGGCCGAAGACCTCCTCCCCCGAGTCGTCCTTGTGGCGCACCGAGTTCCCGTCCTTCGAGAGCTGCACCTGGCAGGCCGAAGGGCCGAGCACCTCACAGGGAGGGGGCTCTTTGGGTTCAAACGGGTTGGCCGGCGGAATTTCGGAGGCAAAACGCGCCAAGGGGCCTCTCTCCAAATGTCGAAGATCACAGTCGAAGACAACAAGAAGTTGATGCTAGACCCTGCCAAGTTGCCAGGTGACAGTAAATAGTTTAGCTCCCAGGGTTCACAGGTGACCCAAAGCCAGCTCGGCCCGCACCTGTTTGCTGAGCAGCGGCGCGTAGAACGCCGGCGACGTGGACTGGCAAGTGGCGGTGCTAATCGAAACAAGACTACTCCCTTGCAAAGCAACGTGGAACCCCCGAAAGAGGGGTCCACTCCACGCAAAAGTCTCCTAAGACAGCTTGGTAGCTGTGCCTCTGGATAGTTTGGCAAACAGTAAAAGTGTGCCGTGTTACCACGCCTGTCTTGCAGTCCAAAGTCCAATGCATTTAGCATGTCTGTCGGAGACACAGACAGAAGGCGCTACGCCTCGTATACAAACATGTCCAGCTTCAAAGGCAAGATTACAAACAACAACAGGCCAAGCCCATACATTGGGTCTCCTCTTGTTCCTCGCTGTTTGCCTGAAAGAGACGTCCCCTCCTTTTGCTGGTTCGGCTCTTCAACTCACCGGCCTCAGTTGTGAGCTACGTGGCCTTGCCTCCCCATCCCTAGCTTTGGGGGAGCGACAGTGAAAGAGAAGCATTTACATGCCTTTCTGGGAGGTGCAAGTGCCAGCTCTTTGAGGATGTGGAACAGCACACTCAAAGTTTTGTGCTCGAAGGCTTCTGCCCCTTTGACTCCTTGCCCGGTTCTTCTGCCACCTGTTCTTGGACATGCCTGCACAAAGAAACCTATGCTTTTAGGGAGAAAAACCAAACATTTCTCCAAGACGGTATTTCGTCGCAAAAAAGAAACGAACCCTGGCCCAGGTGACGCTTCCCCAAGCCCCTGACTTCGGCCTTGGGCACGGGCCTCAGATGTCAGATGAACGCGCAGTCCCGCCGGTGAGTGAGAAATGTTGGGGGTCTCTCTTTTGGGGCAACACCCATTGTTTGACTATCAGGAACCATTCATTCGTAAGTGCTAACCGTCTAATAAAAACTTTGACCAATTCTGAGAGGAATCTCTCCCCTTGCAGTGGCTCCTACTCTCCTGCAAATAAATTAACATACAACCCACACAACCGAAGGATCTCGTTGGAGCTATAGGAGGTATCTCCTTTTTGGGGACCCCCCTGTTCACCCGCCGTTCCGCCCGCTCTGCCACTTCCCTCCCCAGGTCTCGCCAGCCGAGAGGCGCGGGCGCCGGCTTGGCAGCTGAGAGCTTCCTCAGGCGGAGTTGGTTGTGGCTGAGGGAGCCAAAAAACAATTTTCCTTAGGTGGATAAAAACAAATTAAAAAGGAATCGCCACATTTAAGAAGCTGCAGCATCGTTTTCTGAAACAGCATGCTGTTTCTGAATGACCCACGACCGCCCACCATATCCCCTCGTCAGCCCAAGACGCGCCGGCGCCTTCGCAACCGGCGCCGGCGCCGCCGGCGCTTCGGGCGCTGGCGTCGGGGCCGGGGCCGGCGCTATCTCCGGGGCCGGGGGGTCGGGCTCCGGAGCCTGGCGCGCCGAATGGGTCCAAGGCCAAAGGCGTCCAAAGGGCTTCTAACTCGCCCCAAGAGTCCCATGCCCGGCTTTACCTGGACTCGTCAAAAAGGATTGGACTCGTCAAACAGGATATTGTCGATATTGAAACAACAGCAGGAGCTTCCAGGGCCAAGGACGGAGCAAAGACTGTAGTATGATGATACCCTAATGCTTCCCGAAATGCAACGACTGCTCTACTACCTGTCAGTAACTCGGTGATCCGTAAAACTTTGTAGATTGACTTGACCGGGTTGAACATTGCTTCAAATTCCACTTCCGTTTTGGAGAAGTCAAATTTATCCTCGGCAACTCCCCATGGCGCATGGAAAGATTCTTCGTTTGGCGCCCACAATGTAATTTAGCACGGTGCACGTCAAGTCAAAGCCGCTATAAGGCTGAAGAGGGACGTCAAACGCATTGTGGATGATTCTGCAAGTGACTCCCTCTGTTCTACACCCACAACTGAACATGTAACGTATGACAAATGCACAAATAATTTCTAGACCACAGAGGTTGGAAAGGCTACAATTGCAGGCACTCATGCACGTAATACCGAAAGATCTTGTGGAAAGCTTCTGACGACGCTGCTCTCCTTCGTTGCACGAGGCGTCCTTTGGAACATCCACACTGGGACACTGGGACTCGTGGCATGGCTCAGTGATCCTTGCACTGCAAGGGGTCTACCCAAGACCAGGGGTAAGCTGGGCTTCTTGCCGCCGTCTGGTTGGGCATCCCCTACCTTCAACTGCCAAGATCTGGTCTGTGGCTCACATGGCTATAAACACTAGGGCACAATGGTCGGCAGAAATACATCCCCATGCATTGGTTGTCTCACATGCTTTCCTTCTTCTCTTCCCTCTTAGCAACCATCTTCGAAGAAACCACTATGGCAGAAGCCCAAAACCTCAATCGCGATGGAAAGGAGCCAATGTCCATTCCGGGAAGCAGAAACTTAGCGGAGCAGTCGCTTCGCCATAGTCGAGCCGGAGGCAGACGGCTTGCACGGCCGATGTCCATCCCCGCCTCCGGCTTGGGCCGACGCTGAATCTCCGGCGGCGCGGCCCCCAGGCGGAGGGACACCTGAAAGCTGCGGAGGCGGCCAAAAACGATGTGCCCGGATTGCCATGCCCCGGATTGCATTTGTTCCAAATACTTAAAGAAAGCAGTCGCAGTTGCTGCGAAAAAGACTGCTGCTGGCGATCCAGGTGGGCAGTAATTGACTGGAGCTTTTGTTGGACATCTTCTACATGGGGGTTTATGTGTATCAAGTATTCTCGATGTGGTTCCGAATCAAAATTCACAGCCATGTCTGAGAGTGGGAACGCATGGCTTTGAAGGGTCTTCTCAAAACGACAGTGGGTCTCTCATTTTGACAACACCCATTCTTCCAAGTAGTCCAGAACTCCCCGGCCGCCTTCCCCCCCCAAGAATGTAGGCACCCTGTTGGAAGGGAGCTGGTAAAACCATCCCAGGTCCCACGCTTCCGGTCTTCTTGCGAGATGTGAAGAATCAGCCGCAACCAGCCTGTCTCAGCCCCAAGAGCCACCTCCCTCCCAGTCGAGGGGCTGCCACGGTGTTGCCCATGAGCTCCACCAGTGGGAAGAGCTCGGCTTGGGGCAGGCCCTGCAGGCTCTCGGCCTCCAGCATGCCGTTCACGACCCTCGGCCAGCTTGGGATTTGAATCTGCAATCAGGGGGCCGCCTATGCAGCCATGTGCCGACATGGCAGAGCCGTAATATCAGGAGGCCTGGCGGAGGCCTCCTTTTTCATCGCATCGTCCAAAAGGAAAACCCCAAAGGAAACCAACGCATCGTTTTGCGGGGGGGGGGGGGTTCTCCACCCCTTTCTTGGGGCCCTTCTCACCGAGACCTCGCCCCTTTTTTGGTTCAGGGCACAGCTGCAGCACGCCCTCCGGGGTCACCAGCACCCCCACGGCGTCCCCCAGCTCCAAGTTCACCGGGGACCAGTCGATGGGCGTCAGATCTTCCCAGTCGTAGCCTTCGACCCCCCCCCTTGGAAATGTCTGGCAAAGTGGAAGGGCTGCTAGGAAAAAGTTCAAAGACTTTCATGCTCGGTCAACCTGAAGTGTCCAAACTCACAGGGGCACACCAGCGCCCTCCTCCCTTCCGCCCACCAGCCATCACTAGCGGTCACTCGCAACTTGCATGGCAGGGGGCGGTGGGCCATTCCATCGAAGCCGTAGCAGAAGGACTGGGGTACCTGCTGCCAAGTCTGCTGTAGCGCTCCAATTGAGGGAACCCTTGAAGTGGGCTTTGGCTTCAGTTCCCTGAAAATCAACGCACGGTTGGCTTCATCAGTAGGAACATTATAATTATTGCGTGCTTTGCTTGGTCAATCTTTGTCAAAGCCTGCATCCCCCCTCTTGCGAAGAAGAAACGGGGATGTTCCACAGGTGTTAGCAGGAGGGATAAAAAAGTGACACAAAGCTCGCCAGCCTATGGCCCCTTTTCAACCGCATGTTTTTCCGAGAATCACCCCATTGATGTCTCAAAAACAAACTCGGAGGGGTCCAAACAAGCCGCCAAACCTCCCAAGAAAAGATCCACGTCCACCTCCCCTCCGCGCGCGCATGCGCGGCGCGCCTCCTCGCAGGTGGCGTAGGGCTCCGGCGGCCGGTCCTCCGGCAGCGCGGCGCAGACCCCCAGCGTCAGCCCGTCCGCGAAGGCCGCGGCCACCTCCTCCACGCCTCAGGGGAGGGAGTTCTCACCTGGACATAAATCCCCTCCAGCCCCGCCCCCCCCCCAAAAAAAAAATAAAACAAAGAAAGAAAGAAAGAAAGAAAGAAACAAGCAAACAAGCAAACAGACAAAGAAACAAAGAAACCGACTAGCACGCGCACACACGCAAAGGAGAAGAAGGGGTTGCTCCTTTTGGTCTGGTGGAAAAGGTCGCGCCTTTAATGCACAAGTTGCATGATGTGTGGAGCGCTGGACAATTCGCTGGCTCTCTAGCAGGGAATCACGATGGTTTTGGGAAGGAACCATTTGTGATCTTTGTTCAGGAGATTGAGGAAGTCTTGGGCCCATGTGTCAAAACTAGCGAGAGGAATTCAAAGGAAAAAATTAGGTTGTGACCCTCTTGCAGGGAAATTCAGTGGACTAGAGCATGTGTTGACCCAACCTCACCTGGCCTGCAAGCCCTACACACTCACGCGTCGCAACGTGCGCACGGTGCGGCACGTCCAATCTGTCAGGCGGCGTTGTGCCACAGCGAGCGCAGACCTCTTTGTGAGGTCTTAACGAAAAGGCCTGGCCAAATCGTTGGCCGTGCGAATCGGCCGGCCGGTGCAAAAAGGTGCGAATCGCACGTGCCACATCGGCAAGAATGCGATGTGGGAGGTCTATTGTTCGACCATTTTGGGGAGGCCCAACTCCGAGCAACGAAAGGTTGAGGCCTTGAATCTCACCTAAGTTCAAGGAGAACTGGGAGGCAAAACCGCGAAAGAGAAGCCTAATCAAATGCACATCAGAGGCAAGGGTACCTTGAACTGAGGTGGATTCATGTTGGTCCCTCCAAATGGCACCATCACGATGGGATGCCGGGGCCGGGAATTGGATGCATGCAAGCCTGAGTGCAACAGCAACCTCAAGCCATGAAACGACTACCGGGCTGACACAGGTGGAGGCTTGCTGACGAAGCCACTGAAAAACCTGTCGGGAGGAAATCGTGGCCCAAACTTTAACTCAAGCTCCGATCCATCGAGTTCGGATGTCCATTCCTAACTAAGTGAGACGAGCCAGCTGGCCTGTCCCTCACTGTGCTGGTAAGCCGCGACCGCTTCATCATCAGGAACGTCATCAGGAGCGCGCCGAAGCCTTCTCCTTGTCCTCATTGCTGCGTGCAACAGCAAGGTGAAGGGCTTGGAAAAGGCGAAGGTGGTGAAGTTGCGCTTGTTCAATAAGCTGGTATTCCTTCCAGAGACTTAGGAAGGAGGGCTCCCGCTGCTGATTTGCGAGCTTGGCTGCTCCGTCGGCAGCACCATTCCACCTGATCGTCCACTCATCAGCTGGATCTTCGCATTCATCAGGTCGTCCGTGGCCAGGAAGGTGAAGCACTCGAAATTGACCAGGATGAAGACATCCTAGATGCTGCCGGAGCTCCTGCCAGAGATCACTGTTGCTTGTATCAGGGGCGTCAAATTCATCAGCTTGAAGTCGCCAAGTACCAGAGGCAGCATATGCAGAATCAGCCCACAAGGTTGTAGCACATCCGCAGTGGCTCGCAGCGTATAGGACGGCTGTGAGTTCAGCCCGGTTGACACATTGTGCCTTGCCGGCAAGTGGTCCAGCTGCGATTTGGCAGGCATGCGTTGCAGAGATGACTGCCCAGGAGGCCAAAGCCAATGGCCGGTACGTGGGGGATGTGCAGGAACCGTCAGTGAACAAGCGCACAGTCTGATCGGGTTGGGCGACGGTCTCAAAGGCAATCTGCTTGTGCTTGAGTCTGTCGAGGTAGTTTCTGACTTGGCTAAGCAACGGGTTGCTAGGGAGAAGGAGTCGTTCACGTAGGCAGACGGGTGAATCTCGCCAAAGACGTCGCGCTTGATCGTGCTGGGCATGACATTCAGCATGTGCTGGACATTCAAGGCAGCGAAGTTCGGCGGTATCAAGGGCGGAACAGTGATGACACCGGCTGGCAGTGAAGTTGTCAAACTTGGCCTTCTGATGGTTGAGGTAGAAGGCTCCTTCTCGAAGGGTATTAACCCTGGCAGTTTCCAGGGCATCAAGGTGGGCACTGCAGTGAAGACTGGCAATCCAGTTGATTCCTTGCAGGCCCTGATAGTCTGCCCGCTGAACAAGATCTTGAGAGGTAGGTTGGAGCCACGCCAGGCGTCTTCAAGAAGTAGTCGTAGTAGGCCTATGTCAATGGTCAAGATGTTGTGGTGATGCCCTTCATGATCGACAAGTATAGGTGGAGAGGCAATCTTCCACATGATAGCGTTGAGCTGTCTTAGTAGTACTGTGAATGGCCCGGCAAAGGTGCGGCCATCGTAAGAGGCAGTAAAGGAGGCCTGCTTGTGGAGGGTGCGTCTGAAGGTGCGAACAACTTGCCAGAGCTGGAAGAATCCGGGGTCACACTGGATATTTGAAAGAAGACTGAGTCGGATTCGGGGGCTTGCCCCCGCCCGCCCCGCGCCAGTGGCTCGAACTGCGGCAGTGCGTAGGCTTTTGATGTTGGCAGCGGAGAAGTCTTCAATGGGCGCACTGTGGATGACACGTGGCCACAGAGCTTGGTAGAGGACAAGGTGCTTGTTGAAGGTTGGAACGTTGAGCTTCTTGAACAGGATCCAGGTTGGTTGAAGTCCAGCGAGGATGTCCGAGTGGTGGGCTGTTCTCCTGCGGGCACCATAGGTCATTTGTCCGCCGAGGTCCTTGTCCTTGAGGCTCATACGGCGCCCCATGAGCTGAAGTTGCTGTCGATGTTGAGGGTGGACCGCCCAAAGGTAGGTTTTGTCAAGGTCGATCCGTAGCTGGAACATATCGAGAAAGGCGTCCTGAGTGACCACTGCGTGTAGTAGTGCTCCTGGATGGCTTGCGACGATTTCGAGATTGTCAACGAAAGATGCCGAGGTGGCCCGTGGCGAGAAATGTGATTGGTACAGGTGGTAACACCAGTCCACAAGAGCCATGGCCAGGCAACTGAGGGGACATCCTTCAAGGTAGCCGCAATTGGAGAAGAGCGGGCTGCCAACCGTGTCATGGACGCAAAATCTTCGGGAGAATCCAACGAGGAATCGATGCCAAGCCTCAACAAAGTTGGAGGGGAAGCCCACGTGCTTGGCGATCTGCTTGATGGGCACTCGCGGCAGATGGTTGAATGCTTTCTCGACGTCCGTGACGCATCCAACCAAAGGTCGGTTCTGTTGAGCGTGAAGTTCAATGTGGGCTTGTAGAGGGAGCCAGATCTCCTGAGCCTCATGGGAGGGCAAGAAGCCAAAGGCCGGACAATCCAGCTGTGAAAGCCTGGAGAGTCCTTGCCAAGCTCTGAGAGATGCCCAGTTGCGGTAGTTCATGCTGAGCACAATGATCGGCCTGAATTGAGCGACCTCTTCGGCCTCGTCACATTTGGCGATGCCATGGGCGAAGCCGGTGAGCTTGACGGAGTGGCTCAGGCATGTTGACAAGGTCGTTGCGTCCGTAGCCGTCAGCGCCTCTTGCTGTGTGCTTCTTGAATCTTTGCAGTGACTGGTCCCAAGAGGATAGGTCAAGGTCGGGAAGCTTGATGAGGCTGCGTGGCACGAAGGCTTTGACAAAGCCGAAGATGCGGTCCTTGTGCTTGCTCCATCTGTCGGTCCAGAAGCGGCTGAGGGCTTCGTGGATCTGAGCATCTTCAGTGACGTGGATGTGCTGATGTAGCTGTTGGCCAGCGAGGATGAGGTCAGTGTCAACCTGGAGGGTTTGCGAGGTGATGTGGGTGATTTGTGCCGGGACGTTGTCAACCCAGCTTGGCGGCCGAGAAGGGTTGGTCAGTGAGCACCTGGGTACCATCCGAGGAGACCGCAAGGATAGTAGCAATCTTCTTTTCGACCAGGCGATCGATGGGTCGCCGAGCCGGCTTGAGAGTTTTGAAATGCGCGGGTGCACTTCGCTTGCTGGCGCAGATTCCAGCTCTCGAAGGCACGAAAGTTGTGCTAGTAGTCAGTGTAGAGGCGTTGAAGAGTTTCAAGGTCAGGGGCATGTGCTGGTAGGCAGTGAGGGCTGCCCTGGAGCTGTCTAGTCAGCCACCATTCAGAGAAGGATGGCTGAAATCCCCGCGCAACAACAACAGCTCGCCAAACTTCAGCACGATAAAGTTGATGAGTAGCCTCTTGACCGCCAGCTTTGACAGAGTGAAGCAGACTCTGAAGTCGACGAGTTGGCGAAACCACTGCAAGACGGCACGGCCTACCTGGTCGGAGCAGAGGTGAACTTCTCCTTGCCGACTAGGTCGAGATAGTGGTGGTTGCGGAAGCCGCCGTCTTGGTCAAAGCCTTTGTCCTCTTCCCCAACAAGCTGAGAAAAGTGGGTTGCGCGATGTAGCGTGGAGGTGCTGATGAAGGCCTTCCTCATAAAGTTGGCCTAGTTGGGCGTAGTGCTGCGTGAGGTTGGTAGTAGGTTGGAGTAGTTGAGGCTCGGGCTGGAAGTCGGAGTGCCAGGCTTCGATCTGGACATCATCCCATGGGATCTGAGTAGGAAGCGCCACCTTGAAACGTGGCTGAGAGGGCTCCATGGTCGGAGAACCGGTGAAGTGGGATTGGACAAAGTAGGCCGCAAGGTCAGGAGAGATGTAGATGCGATCGGGTCGTGAGATTCCCCTGTACGTGTTCTGAGGAGCACATCCAGAAATTCTGGCGTAGCCGGCTTGCATCCAGGCCTGGAGTGAGGGGAGAGTTTTCTGGGTGGTTAAAGTCACCCGAGACGTATCGCAGTCCGTGGGAGCCAAGGATGTACTCACTTGTGATACACTGGAGCATCTCCTCAGTGAGGCCACGTAGGAGATGTTGGCCAGGCGTACAAATTGATGCTGGACAGCTGGATGTTCGATCCAAAATCTGGTGTGTTGTAATCTACCAATCTGGTGGTAGTGGTGAAGACGTGGAATGTGGACTGGTTGAAGTGGCACATCGGCAAACTGCATGACTCCAGTCCATGTACCGGTCGTGCTGGAGCCGGCGCGCAAAGGAGCAGGGGCTCCATAGCTGGTCCTGATTCTTCTGTGATCCTGCCGAGCCAGGTACTTGAGGCGCCGGGCTTCTCCATATCTATGAACTCTGAATGGTAGTGCATGAGGAGAGCACATTTGCCACCGTGGCCTGCCCGACCCGAGTTCGCGGGAGACCGCGCTGTGCATGAAGAGCTGGGCAAGACAGGGCACGGTGGGCCTGTGCGCAAAATGGTTGACGTTGAAGCCAAAAATGGGGTGGCAAAACGCCGGCTCAAGTGCAGGCTGGCCAGAGAGACGGTGAAGTTGGCTGTCTCCTTGATGGATAGCCGGGGCGGATTGATCACTTGGTTGGCCATCCAGATGATGGGTACCAAGGTTGTGCACATAACTGTTCAAAGAGCTAGTAGTGCATGAGGAAAGCGACAAGTTGTTGTAGAGTGACTCCCCAATGTGACCATGGTCAGCGTCCCACAGGCTGAGTCGAGTCACTGGCTGAAGAATCAAACTGGTAGCTGAAGGGCTGCAGGTAACCTGTTCTGGAGTGAAGTACGGATGTGTCCCTGGGGCATCACGTCCGTGAACAGCAAGGAGTAGGGTGACCCAGATGAGCCACCGAGGAAGGAAACAACAGGCGCGGCCCACACGTTTGAAAGAAGCCGGTGGCCGGGTGTGTGTGGATTCACCGTTGCTTCTGCCGTTGGTGCTGGTCGTAGGTGTGTTGGTGGAGAGGTTCCAGCTGTGATTGACATGCTTGGGCACTCGATGTGCTGGAGAATCGAGCCCCAGTTGCGCTAGTCAATCGGTGCGGCGCTTTTTGCTCAGCAAGGCTTCGATGTTACCAAAGCCTGCCCACATCTCCCTGCGAATCTCCGCATTGTGGTCGTGCACAGTTTTGTTGAGGTTGCCGAGCTCGAGTTGCTGGGTCTGGACCTGAGTGGCCAAGGCATTGATCTGGCGGTTGGTGCTTCCGCGGCGTCACCAAACCATTGTTCGAACTTGACATTCTGTCGCCGAAGCTCGGCAACGGATGACTCCAGGAACTGGAAGCGGGAGTCGAATTTGTTGCGGTCATCGCCCTCCAGAGGGTTGCTGCCATTGGTCGATTTGCTTTTGGAGCGAGGCAGTGACGGTGGCCTTGATGCGTTCTTCGGCTTGTTGGAGACGATCTGCAGCTGGCTTTGTTCCTGAACTTTTGCCTTCAGCCGGATGTTGATGAAACCACTGTGACCATGGGTCACTTCCGGCTTGCCAGGGATCTTGCGAAGCTCGCGCGGCTGGCTCGGGGTTGTTGTTCAAGTATTTCTGCGTCCTGTCGAAGGCGACTAGTGAAGGGCCATTGAGGTCAGGCTTGAGCGTTCGGAGCTTGGTAACGAGAACATCGCCATGAGCTCCTTGAAGGATGTCACTGGGCGGGGGAGTGTCGGCTCCAACCTCCCATCCAATGCCGTGTTGGTCACCCTTGCATGGCTGAAGTGGCTTGGCTTTCCACTTCCATGCCGCGAGGGATTTAACGAGTCCCTGCCGCTGAGTTCCGTGAGGAAGGGGAAAGATCTTGTAGATGTCAACAACCTTGACCTGGAGGTAGGGCTCGTCAGGCTTGAGCTCCTTGTGTGCTTGTGGTAGGTGGTCTGAGGTGAAGCGGAGCCCATATCGGTCGTTAAGACGCACTATGGAGACCGAGCTTTCTGTGGTCCTGCGCTTGTAGGAGATGGTCTGGAGAGTAGCTCCAGCAAGCCATACCACACCAAACTGCTCGTCCGGGGAGCGTCCTGTGGAGTCCCTAGGGTCAACGTAGAGGCCATCCGTGCCGAAGAGGTTCAGCAGGTTGTGAAAGGCAACCTGAGGGATTCGAACAAGAGCAGTCCAGCTGGTGGCTTTGTCTTTGGGGACACGAGCTCCTTGTGCGTTGACCCACTGCCTTCCCCAGATGTCAAGGATGACACTGGTGACTTGTTCTTCATCGACTGGAGGATGAAATTTCCGGCAGGAGTCACCGCAACCTTCAGAGCGGCAGAGCGTCATGATGGGGTAGTGCTGCATGACCTGACGCATCGGTCCTTCCACAAAGGTGGTCCATGGGCTGGTCCATTGGTCCTGGTAGATGGCAAGCTTGATCGTGCATGTAGCGATGGGTGCTACATCTGGGAGCGTATTGCGTGCTGGCCGTGCAACTATGACCTGACCAAGCTGGACGATGCTGCCGTGGATGAGGATGGGTTCCTGCGTGGCGATGTGCTTGGCAGGAAAGAGAATGTTCTCCGTTGGGAGTTGTCCACATAGCGTTGATGGGATGCAGGTGGTGGTAAGTATAGCCAGGCGGCCGGTGCTGAGCTGGACTCCTTCCTTGAGGTATGGGGCTGCTTCGCTGATAGTAGCAAATGCGATGCCAGTGCGACCTTTGCTGAGGTTGTGGATGGAGAGAGCCTCGATCGGGATGCCATCTTCCACAGTGAAGGTGCCGGGTATGAGCTGAAGCTCACTGGGCGTGATGTGACACTCAGTTTTGCCTTCGGGGGCACGTTCTGGTTTGTTCTTGTCCTTCTTTTTGACGAAGGTGCTGATGCCGAACTTGTTGGCAGCCTTGAGCTGGACTTTCTTGAGGAGTTCGTCGTGTCTGATCCACTGAAAGGGGCTCGAAGGTCTGGATCCTAGCGCCTTGAGGGCGCTCCATGTTTGCTTGGAGGCGAGGGCTTCAGCGATACTGCTTAAGCCGAGCTTCTTGATGGCATGGGTGGCTCGCTCCTCGACGCGGTCTAGTGGCACGCCCTTCTCTGCGAGGATGGCGGTGAGCTGCTTGAGCACTTCCTCTTCGTTGCATGGGCCGTTGGCTGCATGGATGTACTCGTTGGTGAGGTTACCAGCTTGTAGGTGACGATGCCAAGTAGCAATGTCTGGCTGGTTGGACTCAGGCCAAAGGTCGAGAACGGCCGCAAGGTGGGCAAGTGCAATGGTGCCGCACGTGTAGTTGTCTTGTTGGTGGTAGTAGGTGAGGCTCTGGATGCATTCACACGGAATGTTCCAGTGACTGGCGAGGGTCGTAGCAATGTAGTGGCCACCCTCGTGAGCCCGGCCTGCAAGCCCTACAAACAGCTGACATCAAAGCTGTCAAGCCCAACTCACATCTGAACAATCAACAACAATAAGCTCCAAGCAAGTCAGCATATGCACATGCGACACCCCCAACCAATTATTGATGTCAGCTTGAGCTCCTCACTGCCCCCCCCGTCAGTGTGTGCCAAGGCGCAAACTTCGAAGTACCGACCCTCGGGGAACGTGGGCAGCGGCCCATCCCCAAAACACACGCAGCCCAAGCCGGCGCCCTTCGCGGAGACGCCTTCAGGCCGGGCGCAGGGCACGATTTGGGCGGGAGGCGGATGCGGGGGCAAAATGCTTGGGGCAGGTGGGTCCTCAAATTTCAGGTGGCCGTGGTCTGCAAACGGCTTGTCCAGGTACTGTACAAAATGGAAGAATGTGGAAACATGATCAAATAAAGAAGCACTGTGATTGTTGTGTGCTGAGACGCTTCTTCACTCGTCGGAGTTTGGGTAATTCTTAATCTGTCAAGAACAACAGGAGCACGCAATCAACTCACATCCACACACAACCAAAGTTTTGGGAGATCCGGCATTGAAAAATACGCACTTCCCACACCCCATCTGTGTGTTTTGTTTTCAAGGGAGGCCAAAAGAAAACTGCCAAACTTCTTGGTGATTCGAAAGAAAAACCAATCGGTGTATGGGGTCCCGTACTTTGCTGGTTGTTCAAGAGGGGGCGTCTGAATGAATCATTTAACAAGGTACCCCTGCCCCTATGGATGAACTAAACAGCTTGGCCATGGGTCAAAATCCCGTACCCCCAGTGAACATCCCAATCCCCACTAAAATAGACTAAAATGGGTGGTGCACCTATCCCAAAATGGGATCCCATTGGTTTTGACCCACAGCCATTTGGCACCCTCGCCAATAAAAACACCACCCTCCGGTCCCCCCCCACCCCTCGCCTGTGCGCCGCGCCCGCAGCTTGTCCAGCGTCACCAGCGGGCTGCAGAGGCGCCGGCTGAAGCCCCCCAGCAGCCCCGGGGGCGGCGGCTCCGCCCCGACCTGTCGCTGGGTACGTGACCGAAACCCGCTGCGGGTATATAGGACACGCATTGCGTTGCCCAACTGATTAAATTGGGGGGGGGGGGGGAAAAATAGTAAAAGGAGAATTCAAAGAATTATTCTTTCTACTATTTTTTCTCCAACAGCAACACAACAAACAGAAAACAAAATCCAGAACAACAAGCAAACAAAATAAATAATCACAACCAACAACAAAAATATTTAATCACAGCATGCAACATTAAATAATTCAAACAAGCATACCAACAAAACAGCAACACTCTATATCATCAAAGACACTCAACTCAAAAACACACATCAACAAAAAACAAAGCAACATACCAACAAAAAATATCACAAGAGCATCAAACAAAACAAAAACAAACAGTCAAAGCACGAAAAAATTAAAGAAGCATGCCAAGTCTAAACAACGCACTTTGAAAGAGATAAGCAAATTAGGAAAATATAATAATTCAATCTTTACAAACGATAAATATATTACAATTATAACATATAATATTTTACATGTGATAATCATAGTATGATTAAACCTGTTTTTAGTGTTTCCAGTCTCCTATGTTGTTCCAAGAACTGCTCAAAATGTTTCTGATATTATACCAGATTAAGCTAACGTCATAATCTTTCATTGGTGCTCTTTGTTGTATTAAATAACGCAACACTGATACCAAAGTATAATAATTACAATGCATTGTTGTCATTCCTCCTCTTTCATTAATACTATTACCATTACGTTTAACGAGTTCTTCTTTCATTATGTTTTCGTAAATCTCTTTTATCCATTGATGATTTTGTTCTCCATACTCAGCGAACATATCTGGATATATATCTTTCATTGTTTTATCGTTTTTAATTATTTCAATGACTTGTTTATACGATGGATAGGGATTATCCTTAATGAAACTCAATATTATCTTTCTATCCTGTTCCAGCTCTTTTTCTGTCACTCCTAGCATTGGCATTTTTCCTATTATTATATTAAGTCTTTATTCCTTTAAGTCATTTTACATTATAATTATAACATATAAGGGTATAAATGTTATTATTATAGTATGATTAAGAATTATAGCACCACATTTCACAAGCCATGTTAATCCAAAAATCAAGCCATGTTAATCCAAAAATCAAGCCATGTTAATCCAAAAATCAAGCCATGTTAATCCAAAAATCAAGCCATGTTAATCCAAAAATCAAGCTATGTTAATCCAAAAATCAAGCTATGTTAATCCAAAAATCAAGCTATGTTAATCCAAAAATCAAGCTATGTTAATCCAAAAATCAAGCTATGTTAATCCAAAAATTAAATCCGCTCCAAACTCAAAACTCACTAAGATTTCACAAATTAATTCGCTAGGTATTTTGTATAAATCTTCCTGTTTATGTATTATTGGATTGTCACCCCATTTTTCCTTGGTGCCCGATGGCAGTCTCTGCGCAGTTTCAATATGTCTATTATTCCTAATGTTGCCACAATCCTTTTTACATAATTCTCTAGGTTTCCAAGTTGTAATGTTATTCCAGAGCCTAGTGCGTTTTCTGTAAGGCATTCCATATTTACAATAATCTACATCTTTAAAATCAAACTCATCCATAAACTCCTGATGTTTTAATAATCCAGTTTGTGGATTTTCGATTACAAAATATTTAGGATTGAAATATTTGATAATCTCAATAGTTTTTAAGACAATACTATTTGCATATTCGATATTCCTAATTCCCCTAGTTTTTGCTACACTATATTCAGTGCATGGAGGACTACTCCAAATAAAATCAAAATGGTTTCTGTCAAACTGTTTATAATCCCACTCCAAAATATCAGTGTTGATATCAGCATTTTTCAAGTCTAATGATATCACATTAAAACCTAAGTCACGAGCAACTTTACCAACAGAACCACTGCCTGAAAATAATTCTAATAAATTCATTTATTAGAATTATTTAGATATTAATTATTCTAATACATATACTCCATCATCATTTTTTGAAATTTTGTAAAATTCTAAAGTGGTGCTTTTAGGTTGTTTGATTTTTCCTGTATTCAACATATCACAGTATTTCTTTTGCTTTGTAGGGTAGTCGCCCGATGGTCTTCCTATTGATTTTGCTTGAAATATTTTTCGATTTTCTCTTTATCTTCATTGCGTTCAACTGGTTTTATTTTGTCATCAATGGATTTAATCATATCATTTAAGGTTTTGATATTTTTACCAATTAATGTTATCTTCTTCATTAAATCATTAATAGTATAATCCTCGTTTTCAGACATTACTATATATTTATTTAGATAATTATTTATTTAATTATACGTTTTATTATATAATTTACCTGAATAATTTAATGTTATATATGTAAATAAATTATATTCTAAGAGTCTTTCATCAATTTTATTTTTCAATTTTATTAAACCTTCATCGTTACCTGTAATTTCAAAATACTTCAACATTTTATCAAATTTATCTGGTTTAGTTATACCTTTCATAAAATATGTATTATTAAATTTAGCATCTAACCAATAAAAATATTCTATACTCAATTGTCTAGCAAAGTTTTTATCACCATCGAATAGGTCTTTAATTTCTTCATTGTCAAAAGTTATAATTCTATGGTCTTGTCCATTCATAGTTGGCATTATGATTATATAAATAATTAGATATTTATTTAAATATTTATTTATTTATATTTATAAAGTGCAATTATGTTAAATCTACTCTTTAAATACTAATTTTTCATGATTTGTTTAACAGTTTCCTGAGTTTCGTTTTCATTATTATCGGTTGGTGTTGCTTGCCTACCAAATTTAAAAGTTATACTATGGACATCAGTTTCTAAGTTGATACTGTCTTTAGTTTTATCAATATTCATTTTCTTATCATTTTTACTTATTTTGAAACTTGTTGGAATACATGAACATTTACAACTTTTATTATTTTTTATTTGTAATTCATTCTTAAGTTCTAACATTCTTTTACATGTAGGACAAACAACCTCAATAACTGATGTTTCTTTAACAATTTCTTCATCAGTTGATGAAACACTTAAACCTGTCTTATTCTTTTTGTTTTTCTTTTTTCCCATTTATATTAATATTTATATTTTTAATATATTGTATCAAAAACTTAATTAATTCTAAAATAAAATAACATATTTTTTTACATCTATTATCAGTTATTAGTACTTGTTCTATATTCTCCATTTCATCTATTATATTAATATAATCTGTATAACTCCTTTTCATATTAAATAATAAGATAAATTATTTTTCATTTCTGTCTTTCTTTTCTTGTAAAGTTTTTTCATTGTATCGTCTTTATTCCATCTATATTCTACAAATTTCTGATGATGTTTTGAATTTAGATGTTTAAATAAATATTTGTCATCATAAATTTTACAACAATTGCAATGGATAACAGTCATATAATAATAAGATAAAATAATTATTTAAATTATTTAATCTTATTATTTTCATGCATAATAGAATATTGGTGGGGCACAGCACTTGGGGTTTTCATTGCACACGCGAGAGAGATACAAACTAATTAGCTTCAATGCTTATTGATTGTAGCAATGGAAACCTGTTCCATTATGTTATTCACCGCCACTCATAACATAATGATGTTCCATTAATATTAAATAGAATATTTATTTAAACTATTTTCTTTAGTAAGTTTTACTGCAGTTGGTATACTAACATCTAGAATATTATTATTAATAATTTTTTGCACACCATTTATCATTTCATTTGTATATATATCGGGATAATCTTTCATAAAATTCAATAATTTATTATAATTTAGGATATCCTCGTTTTCGATTGATGATTTAGGTATTATAGTATTTTGGTTATTAATCATCGATAAAAACGTTAAAATCGTATCATAATAAATTTGGCCAGTATCTGGAACTAAAATATCACCGAATTTATATATATTCCGAATACTAGTAACTTCACTTAGATTAATAGATCTTCTTGGCATTATGATTATATAAATATTTATATATATTTTTTTATTTATAAGTATTTATAATATTATTTTTATTATGCCTGATGTAAAACCAATTGATGAAATCAAATATGACTTTAAGCAAAGTAAGCATGAGGTCGTCCCTAAATTGCCGATGAGAGCTATGATCGTCGGTCCATCTGGAAGTGGAAAATCAACTTTACTTGTATCAATGATACTTGATATTTATAGAGGAGCATTTGAAAGAATTTTTATCTGGTCTCCATCTGTAAATTTAGATAGTATTTGGTTGCCTGTTAAAAAATACATTAAAGAAGGTTTGAAAGTAGATAATGATAAAGAACCGTGTTGGTGGGATGAGTTCAATGTTGAAGATTTAGAAAGAGTTATAGAAACTCAAAATAAAATAATTGAATACCAGAAAAAACAAGGAACGAAGAAATTATTTAATATTTTGGTAATTTTGGATGATGTATCTGATAATCCAGCAATAACAAGAAATAACAAATTGTTAAATTCTTTATTTTGTAGAGGTCGTCATAGTGGAATATCAACACTTGTAAGTCTTCAAAAATCATCAACCGTACCACCAATTATTAGGGTAAATATAAGTCATTTGTTTTATTATAAAGTTAGAAATTTTAAAGAGATAGAAATATTGCAAGATGAATTATCAGCAATTGTTAGAAGCGATAATTTACATGAAAGCAAGAAACTAATTTATAAAATATATGAGACTGCCACTGATGAACCGCATAGTTTTTTATATATTAACCTTTTAGAAAAGAATCCAGATAAAATGTTTATGAAAAAGTTTTCTCAATATTTGAAAATTACTAATTAAATAATTAAATAATTAAATAATTAAATAATTAAATATATATTAATATTATATGATATTTTATGATTTACCAATAGAAATTAAAGACATAGTATTATCTTATAGTTTAGGCGATGTTAGATTATTAAAAATAAAAAATAATAATATTATGAAAAATTATGTTAATAAATATAAACCAG